TAATGATGTTTAACCGGCAAGTAGTGATAACCAGACATTGAACAACCGGCCCTTAATGTGCAATAGCATCATTACAGCAAGCCTCGTAACCTCAAGTGTTTACACAACCAGCCTTTCAACAAGGGATCCTTAGTCCAAGAATTCAAAAAAAAACCTTTGGAGGAAGCAGCTGCAGCAAAACACAAAGATTGTAAAGATTTATTAAGAAAATAATTCAAAATCAGTTCTACTTATAAGATTTAGTAACAAAGAAAAATTACTGGGAAGTGACAAAACGTCATTTCTTACACAAAAAACGTCCAAACGTCAACAGGGTACAAAAAACGTCCAAATGACGTTATAAACGTCAACCTGGTAACGCTGATAATAACCCAAAAATCTTGCAAGAGAGCATTGAATCGAGAGCGTAGTAACACGGGAGAGCTGCAAATTCTTGTTAGTGAAGTTCTCATCAGCAGAAATTAGCTAGCAAAAGAAGAACAAGAATAAATGTAAAAAGCCGCCATTCGTTAAATTACACTCTAAAAAAAATGTGTAGATTTCCTAGCTAAAAGGTAGGTTACTGATTTCCTACCTTATTATTCGCGAAATTACATGCTCGCTTATTCAACGAATAGTTTGTTTAAATTTCGGACTTTTTAGAGTGTAATATACATAGCTGCTGTGGTGTGCGTAAATTTACTATGAAAGTGTGTACAAGCTACAAAATACACATCTGCTGTTTAATTTCACCTGTAGAATTGTGTAAAGCCCCTAAAAAAAGGATTTTTACACACGAAAACGTGTAAACGAGAAAAATACGTATTCGTCGTGTAAATTTACCAAAAAATTAAAAAAATAAACAAAAATATACTCGATTTATAGTCGCATTTTTAAACAGATTTTTCAGAGTATAGTTAAGAATAAACAAAAGTAAAATGAGTGGAAATCAAAATATTAATGACAAGCGGACCCATGCGCAGACTGCGCAGACAGTAATACACAGTAAACTCATCCCTCTTTGTAGCCACAGATAGAAGCAGACTGTTCTAATAGTTCGCGGAAAAAATAAACTGAATTATTCTTAGCGTGAATGGCATTTATAGTACATCAGAACTTATACTTATTAGGTACATAAAAACATATTACAAACTGACTGAAATATGAGTGTCATGAGTTGAGGGAAACATGGTGTTACTTACACAATATTTGAGGTGAAAATATATTCAGAATTAACTTTTTGAGAATCGTCTTACTCTAGAAAAGGCTACATATAAATGTCCATGGGAAAACACAGGGTTAAATAGGTATAATCCGGCTTTGTCAAGAGTCTGGCCCTGGGCTTTATAAATTGTTATAGCAAAAGCTACTTTTATAGGGAACTGTTTTCTTGTCATTTGAAAAGGTGCAGTTGGATCTGACGGAGTCAAGTTAAAACGCGGTATGATTGCTGTATGCAATGGTAGTATAAAAGTACGCAAAGTAGGCAATTAGTAGTGAATTTCCGTTTGCGAATCCTAATGTATTTGCAGGAAAGTTGGCATTTCCAACGAAATATTAAGAATTATACGTGAATTGTGTAATTTATTTCATCGGTTAAATGTGCTTTATTTGAATATACAAATAAACACATTGCACAAAAACGTATACTTCTATTTCACACGTACAAAAGCTAAAATTTTTTTAATTTGCAAAGAAGCAACACGGTGCCACGGCTAAGGGAGCGGTGCGAGAGAGACAACTGTCAGTTTACCGAATCTTTAATTATGGAATTATGTGTGCGCCCACCACTGTCGTACACGGTGTATGCGATGCTGCTGTTACAATGGTGCTTCAATACAAAATACCTTTAGTGTGGCTTAACAATGGTAGATTAAAAACAAAAAAAAAATTACAAATTTCTTGACTTCAGAGGTGTTATGACCATTAATATTACCTAATAACCACTCAGCGGACCTCTGACTTTTCAAATGACACCTCATTAGTGGAATTGCTTACATAGAAAAATAGAAAAAGGGAGACTAACAAATAACACCTTAGAGAAATAAAATATAAGATGTACTGGGCAGTGTATGTGCTTGTGTGTAAAGCAAAGAGTTTAAAGCTGAGTTATAATTAGTAAACTGTTTAAAGCAGAATGTCAAAACGGTGGAACAACTGTTCACTTGCAAGTTGTTACTACTTTTGTGTTCAATAACTTTTTCTGCTAATTTTGTCTTCTTCTTAATTTTAGGCTCTAATTTGCGTTTACGCTCTCGCTGTATTTTTTTTTTACTGGAGAAGTTACCATACACACCTAATAACTAACTACAGTAAAACCCGCTAAGGTACCTCACGAAAAATGTCAGCTTTTTGAGGTACTTAAGCGGGTTGGGTACTTAAAAGAACCCGCTTAAGTACCTCGATGCGGGTACTTAAGCGAACATAATTACCGATGTAATTACATCTTCTTGTTAACTTACATAAATACTTGATTAACAACATTTAATGAGGTATACATAGCTTCTTTTTGGTTGTTTGTGTTTCCGACAGGGTAGGAGTATGATGTATTGTGGAACGATTTTCCGTCATCCCTTGTCAAATTTGGTTTGGAGACAAACCGGTTTCGGCGTTGTGCCATCTTCTGTGTCATTTTTCGTTCTGAATAGTTCGTGTTTCCTTCCGCTTTTTATGTATTCGTGTTACTATCTGTTTTAACTGTCATTAGGTCATGCATACCTATCTAAGTGCGACCGCTTTTGTTTCATTATCTCACAGGTAGGTGCTTTTTGGTTGCTTGTATTCGCCGGCGGGTAGAAATCCGTTATTTTTATTTTCTTGGTTTTCGGTTATGTTCCGTTATTTATCAGATATTAGGTTGCTTGCTTGTGCCCGCAGATAGAAATCCGTTATTTTTATTTTCTTGGTCTCTGCGGCGTAGGTATGTATCTTCGCGTTGGCGTTTTTTTCAGGGGTCTTCTCATATTTTTCGTACAACATCTTGAGTGGTTCGAATATTACATCAGATACGGTGTTTGTTTGTTCGTTTATAATTCTCCCTTGAAATGTTTTCTGCTTGTATATCTCCACCATGTTTTCCAATATGTTCAAACGCCGTCCTTTATGCTGTAAATGGAGGAGTTTGGCTGCCTTATTAATTTTCATTGGCGTACATTTATTTTCGAACATATGATTTGCGAAGTTTGATTCTGGTGTGACGCTTGGCTTTTGTGTCCTCTTATTGTAGTCTCTTATATGTTCTCGGAATCTTGTTTTAATCTTACGGCCAGTTTGCCCTATGTAGCTACACTTGCATTCACACGTTAATTTGTATACACCCTGCTTATCTAGAGTGTCCTCTTCCTTTGTATATAGTACATAGTAGGTATACATAGTTTAAAACCAAAATCGTAGTATTATTTAAATACATAAACAAGTAAAGAAAAACTTTATTTAAAAAAATATTTAGTGTAATGGTATGTTATTTTTACAAGAATTAAATTGTTTGAAAGTCAAAGTTGGACATAAAAATTTGTACCAAATTCAAAATGATATTGTTTGCCACTTATGTTTATTTATTAATTTTTAAGATTTTTCAATCAATAAAAATGCAGTTCATTCGCTAACAAATTCCATATAAACCTAAGCTTAAGATGTTGTACAAAACTTAAAAAAAAAAATCATCATAATTTAAAATTTTTTTCTTAGAAGTTTTATAGCCTATTCAATTTTAGTGTAATAATGTGCAATAGGCTGGGTCGATTTTGTATGGGGGAAAATAAAAGTCGTTTGACCGCATTGTAATAGTAATATTATGATGTCTTAGGTCTTAGCCAATTGTTATTGCCCCCAAAGATTAATTTAAAACTTATCTTTAGCCCGCGCAATTGCATCAAAGTATACGAATTTTGAAAATGAAACTTTGGCTGGTAATATCTATGGAATGCGTTAATTTTGATAAACCGCACGATATATCAAATTAAGGGTTATTAAATTTAGTACCTCACGTTCATTTATCATTTTTCAATAAGTCTTAAATTTTAAGATATTAAGATAAAACTTACAAAAACTATAATTTTCCCGTATAGATTTTCAATACTTCATTACTTCAGGAACCAAGTGAAAAATACAAAAAAGTGAGACGGGATTTATTTCAAACGTTTTAATGTTTTCGGATGTTTATATAGTATTAAAAGGACCATGGACTTGGTCACGCCGATTTGGTCAGTTTTCAAGATCCTGATGAATGAAATGAAATATGTATCGTCAAAGA